AAACTTAGACATTAAAGGCGACCGTTACGTGGAACGGCCTGTTCTAACTAAAAGCATATTATATTCAGTGGTTCTGTTCTAAATAAATGCGGCATTTAACAAGAACAAAAATGAAGCACAGTGTATTCTACTGTTAAAGATTCCGAACTGTTAAAGATAACTAAAATATGAATTTTGAATAACACAACGAAATGAGCTATTTTCAGAATTATAGATACATGGCATCGAGTTCTAGACGCGTAAGAAATATCTAATGACTAGGCTTCAAGTGATTAATATATCGAATATAAGTTCAAGTAGATCTAATGTGTATACTTTTTCGAAATAAAAAATATAAGAAATTTTGTTAAGTTCGATGACTTTCTTTCTAAATCATTATCAAGGTATGGCTTCAAAAACAAATAAAGATTCTTGCGGTAATGTTGAGCATATTATTTGACATGGCACGAACTCAGAATACTGCTCGACGGTGTAGGCAAATGCTAGGTGCCATGAACTAAATGTTCAAATCTGCTCCATCTTTCATTCGACTTCAAACATACAAAACGTGCATTTTACCTCTTATGGACTATTGCTCTGTAGTGTTTGACAGTAACTATCCAACACGTTTAAACCAGCTACCTTCTGTGCACAAGTTAGCTGCTCGTACGATATTAGGTGACTTCGTTTCTGACAGTTCTCTTCTCATTGCCAAATTACAGTTACCAGATCTTGTCACAAGAAGAAAATTTTTCAAGCTGACTTTATTTCGCAAAGTCGTTACCGGACGAAGTGCGCTTTCACGCTGTTCTCTAGTAAGTCCACTTACTACTCGAACACCCCTATGAACATCTAATCGACGTCTTTGGCAAGTGTCTACATATAAATGTAAAACTACTAGCTCATCGTTCTTACCAAGAACGATAAGGGAATGGAATCAGTTACCAAGGGAGGTTATCGCCGCATTTAATGATCGGGCTTTTAAGCGTGCATTATCGAAACATCTTTTTTCTTGAAGTGTCTGTTTTCCGTATAAGCCATATATGTTTTATGTTATATTATTTTTCCTTTTTTTTGTTCGCTATGATCTAGACAAAGTTTCTTTTAAACTTTTATCATCACCAAGTCAATTTTAAGATCATGGACTGAATAAAATTACTACTACTGCTTATATGAAGATATATATTTAGAAGAAATGATTATTTTATTCACAGCTGATGGCAAAATGTGACTTTGTTGTTTGTTCATAATGTAAAAAGAGTGTGCTTTTTTGGGGGGTCATAACACAGGATCCCTCTAAAATCTCTAAAACTTAGGACAGATTAAAAGATTCGGGTCTTCTAATGTGACAATCCTTTTAGTTTTGTATTGCCAAAATTAGGAAAGACATTAATAACAAGTAACGCTCATCTTCGATTCACTAACCCTTGACTGAAAGAACCTGATCCTAAGGAATCCAACATGTAGGGTGCTCGACTTCCACAAAATGATTTTTCGTTCTCTTGGGTATGGTTGGATAAAGCTAACCGAGTTATATAGTTAAAGCAGATTTCTATACGTTTGGAAGTCATTTTCGTGTGAAAAAGTATTGAATTTTGAACAGAGTACAAAATGACGAAATTTTTCGTATTTCTACCTATGAAAGTGCAGAACTACTTATCTGTGGTTCTCCACAAGGAAGTATAAAAAGCCAACTCCGCCAGTGCTCTCAAAACGCGCACAATACGAGCCGCTTAGAAAAGCTACAGATCGACAATCGGATTTGAAACAAATCATTCCAATCAACGACACCCAGAAAATAACTGCAACCTCACCAAAACTCTCACGCACAAGAATGGCAGAACAATGCAACCGAGAAATAGTACATCCGCAACACACTCCCCGCATAACACCAGGACAAAAGAAACCATCGAAAAAAATCAGGCAAAACAAACAATACCGCATGCCAGGTGTCGCCATCACCCGCACATAACAAATAACAAAAATGAACCGACCAGAGAAACAAACAACCTACTACCCACCCAATCACAAACACATGCAAAGAAAGAAAACAAACACACATCACCCTAAAAGAAAAGAACCTACCAATCTCATTGGATCAAAGCTTGAAAAAACCAGAAGCCCCTATGGGTTAAACATGGAAAACTCGAAAACACGATGTAAACCACTCATTGCACCTTACAACGTCTGAAGTTGGTGTCAGCAGATAAAATGTGTGAAATTTAATTTCTGACATTTTTTATTTCGGAGTCGCACATCTAGGATGTTTCGCTATCGAAAAAAATAGTAATTAGGTGGTTATCCTCCTCGAATATGAATATGTCGCTAATCTACGCTAATTTAAAAGCAGGTGTCACTACTCTACTGCGGACGGTCGGACATTTCGTTTATATGACCCTAACTTTCAGTCAAGCGAATAATGAGGAACGATCTAAAATACGTCTGTGTCTATTGTCTGATCAAAAATCGATTGAAGACCAACAGCACCCTTCGCAAAAACAGCGGTTTGAGCTCCTGTGTGGATATTATTAGTAATGCTCTCCAAAACGATTTGCTAAACAAAGAATATGGATTAAGACTATATGCAGCAACTACTATAGTCTATATAGTACGACACCATTTTCCGATCAGGAAATACATCTTTCTCAAACGGAAAATAATTGATCTTTCCCGAATAAGAATATCCTGTCCCATTTCTCGATATAAAAAAAGCGATGTTTCAGGAAGTTTATTTTAGCACCGCACGTAATCAGCGATCAAAGAGGAGCTTCAACTTTTCACATAGAGCAAATGAGCCGTAGAACTCTGATCAAACTTTCATCCTTTTCATTATTCACAAGTATAGAGAAGTGGAGAGAGAGAGAGATGAGTACCGGATCTGTTTACAGGTTGAAGGTATCACAGTGTTGAACTGTTGGTCTAAAACAGGTGCAAAAGTTCAATTTGCCTTGCAACTTTCTACAAGTAGCTTGGTTCTACTGCCCCAGTCATCGATTCTTATATGAGAATCTTATCAGAACCGTCTAAGTCTCTTACCAATGTCTTACAAGATTCTTATCGGATTCTTATCAGTTCCTTATATAAGAGTGTTCAAGATTTCCCATCGACAGGCGTAAGTGTCTTATAAGATTTTCATAAGAGGTTCGTAAGAAATTCACAAGAAATATGTAGATCCTTCTCGTCGTTTCTAGTTTGACCTAGAAAAAGCTTTTGATATACCTCAAAAAACTGAACAGAGTAATTTATTGTAGGTTTTGCGATGTGCTGTTCCATCTGAGGGGATCAGAAAAACTTTTTTGTCTCCAACAGATCTCCAAGATCCGGAAGCTGGTTTGCTGGAAACCGATTTTCGGAGGCCTAAGGGCAAAAATCGTTGAAATTTTCGAACTCAGCACACCCAGTTACCTATTGTACATAAAGTTTCGGCTCAATAGCGATTTATCAGTTGGAAACGTTCCCTCAATTACCAGGGTAAAAAACCACAAAATGTAATCAATGTGGAGATGAAACACTTGTTATGAGATAGTCCATTTGGTCATCGAGAATAGTCATAACAAATTGAAATCTTTTTGTCTCTAAAAGTGTTCTCATTCGATTCCCCATACCGAATAACGTGTAAATCCAAATTTTGAGCTTTCGATGTCTTTCGACTGAGAAATGATCATGTTTTTTTCGAAGTGTCCGAACATTTTTCGAACACACCTATGTCTCTTACAACTTTTCAGTATTTTAACTAAAACTCAAAAAGGACATGTCTAATCTTTTTGAGCAATAACTCATTGGAAAGAGAATTAAAAACTGAACAAAATGATATATTAGAGTACATTTATCGATGCAACGTTGAACCAATATGTTCAAGTTACTCTCAAAAGTCATTATTTAAAGAACATGACTTTTTCACATAAAATTTATCATAACGGTTTTCTTTTGCATGGGGCCAGAAAATAAGTTTTGCCCTTTTGTAGAGCTGAAAATTCCCTATAAAATGAGCATACAAAATTTGAAAAAAACATTGCAGCACATGCCTAAAAATGCAAAATACTTTATCTCACTACTCTTGAAAGCCGTCATTTAAAAAGCATGATTTTTCTATATAAAGTACTCAGAACGATTTGCTTTAAATGGTCATATAAAATAAATTTCTCTATGTTGTAGAGCTGAAAGTTATCTATAAAATGAGCATAAAATCTTTGTGAAAAACCTCTAGTATGTAGCCAAAAATGCAAAGCTATTTGTCTAAATGCATAAAATCCATTATGTACAGAGAAATTTAGACAAGCTCGAGGTTGACAATATCAGGTGACTTTTCTCTACAAAAAATTGTCTAATCTCAAGTTTCTAATTATGGTTTTAGATAGTACCAATGGTGTGCTGCATTTGCTTACAAATAACTCAAGGCAGCCTAAGCGCATGAAAAAGTATTTTTCAAAAAAAGTGTGAAATGAATTTTTTTTAGAAAAGGTGTAGTGATATCCAAATTATAATATACAAGAAACAAGAGAGTGGGCTCCATAGTCCCAATCCTTTATGAAAGATTTCATGCCTCCTAACTATGCAACAGTTGCAAGGTTGCACATTGTGTCTGCTGTTTTATTTATTTCTTCTGTGTTTTTTGGGAAGATTCTGTTTGACCCGCTTCTGATAATGGATGTTTTGGTTTTGTTTTTGATGTTTCTTGAGCCACATCTTTTCTCAAATTTTCTTGATCTGTTATTTCTTGATCCACCATGTCATCTTTATACGCTTCTTCCTCATCGTCAATATTACTTTCAGGTTTATAGATGGTATTCTAGAATTCTATAG